CGAAATCACAACAGCGGATCGCTTCTGATTGGTTACGCGGTTACGCGATACGCGGTAAATATATCTCGTGGGACTCCAGCCTAACAGCGTCATCATTTTTGGAAAGTGTGACCGGCTTCAAACGCGCAATTGAGTTCGTTACTCTTTTAGACTTTTGTTACTCACAGACTTTTGTTACTCACCGCTTAAGCGGCATTTTCGAATTTCGATACTGGCCGTATCGACGCTGTACGTGATTGAGGCCATTCACTTCAAGAATTAGAATTTATTATCCGCACGTGGTTTGTGTAGTATCCGTATGTATGCGCGTAGAAACTGAGCTAATTCAAAAAACACTCACCCATTCATATATATTCACCCATTTCGTATATACTTCAATTAGATAACGCTATAAATAATTTTCTATAAACAAATTCTCGATCCCTCGTACACAAATAAAGCTTTTGGCCAGATTGCACTAAGGTTATTTCGATTTTAAGGGAGGCTTAAGGATGAGGCATAACCCCTTAAACCTTCTTTGTAGGATCAATCTAAGGGAGATCAACCTAAGACGGATCAGCTTAAGGTTAATCAATTTAAGGAAGATCGACTTAACGAAGATCAATCTAAAAATCAACCAATGGAGGATCAACCTAAGGAGGAGTGGTTAGATATAATTGGCAATGGTCAGCTGATGAAGAAAGTTATAAAGAAAGGCACAAAAGACGTAAAGCCAATACAAAAAGATATATGTACATTAACGTTTACTGGTGTGCTTGATGATGGCACAGTGGTGGAAGATCAAGATAATGTTTCGATACAATTAGGAGATTTTGAAGTAGTACAGGTATTATAACTATTATTATAACATTGTTGTTTGTATTATAACTGTCAGTATCTCATTTACAATACATCAAACTACAGGGTTTGGACCTAACGATTCCATTGATGGAGTTGGGTGAAATTGCTGAAATAAGAATCGATCCTAGATTTTCTTATGGTACACATGGAGAAGGATCTGTACCACCTAATGCTACTATTACTTACACAGTTGAATTGAAAGCAATAAAAGATAGTCCTGATATAGAAAGTCTAAGCATCAAGGAAAGGAGAGAACTAGGGTAATCATTTTATTTATGGCTTTTATATACAGGGTGTCTGGAAATTACCGCCAAATGTTTCGTGCGTGGGTAGAACAGACTGTACTGAGTCGAAAAGTCCTGTATCATTTTGCGG